ATGGCTTTGGAAGCTTTTGATTGGTTAATTGACAACATCTGAGTTAATTGGAGGCACACCTGTGGATGTATTTTAGGGCACACCTCAAACACACTGCAAGAAACCAGCCAAGATATTAGGGTGAGAACTGTGGACCTCCACCAGTCTGGTTCATCCTTGGGTATAATTTCCAGATGGCTGAAGGTTCCACGTTCATCTGTTCAAACAGTTCTATCAACTATAACCACCATGGGAATGTCCAGCCATCATAGCGCTCAGGAAGGAGACGAGTTCTGTGTCCAGAGATGAAGTGTTTTGGTTGAAATGTACGAATCAACCCCAGAACAGAAGCTAAAGACCTTGTGAAGATGTTGCTGAAGCTGGTCAGAGAGTCATTATCCACAGTGGAACCAGTCCTGTACCGACATGGGCTGGAAGGCTGCTCAGAGAGGAAGAAGACATCACTCCAGAAGAAACACTAAAAGGACATCCACCTCATCTGGCTCCTTTTGATGAGAAGACCAGTGACTCTGACACAGCCCCTCCAGAAAAATCCCCCTTGTTGTTGTTGTTAAATCATTTCATTGTAACTTTGGCTTTATGCTTCAGGTCATCCTCTTCCTGGAAAACAAATCTCCCAAGTTGTAGTTTTCTTGCAGACTGCATCAAGCTGTCCTCAAGGATTTCTCTGTACTTTGCTGTTGGTTCACAGTGGAGACGGTGTGTTTGTGTTAATGTGCCGTGTCTGGTGTCTGCCAAACATAGTGTTTAGTTCGATGGTCTCATCAGACCAAAGAATCTTCTTCCAGTTGACTCCAGCGTCTCCCACAGGCCTCCTGATAAAATCAAGACAATGCACTACAACTGCTTTAAGGAGGCATCTCTGTGCAGGAAGCAGAGACTCGAGGAATGATCAATGCTCATTTTAATAACCATTTTAATGTACACATCTCACACAGGCTTTACTGTGTAGGCTTTATCCGGAGCAACCTGAGCGTCCTCTCCCTGAAAATCATTAGAAAACTATTTAAACCTCCCTGTATGAGTCATTATTACACTCCACAGAGACGCCACTGCTCCTGTGAATTTCAGCATGCCTGAATATTTCAAGGTAATGTCACAAAGCATATCTGAAAATACTCCTCATAACTTCAGCTATGCTTCCTGTCTTCTGCTTCTTTGCGTGTACACAGCACAACACAAAGTACATCGAGTAAAAATCCCTGTAGTGTTTTCTGACAGGTTTGTGTTTCAGACTGTATACATGACGAACTGGTGCTTCTGTGAATCAGGTTTGTGTTTCAGTAGCTAGCGACAATGTGGCATGACTGCAGCCTGGTCATTCGTTTTCTCAAGAGTTTATTTCATTGGTCTTTATGAAACTAAATTATGGGTAATTTTCATTAAATAAAGAAAAGCGTGACCATATTTAATGCAGTGCTGCTAAAGCTGGATTGATGTTAAAATAAGTCTCATTTTAAATGTATGACAATTAAAGACAAATTTTACATTTTGCTGCACTATATACACCATACAACACTATATGCACAATACAGTATACATGATAATACAACATTCCTCTTCTGCCATCATGGAGGATCTTCAGTCCCTTATGTGCAGATCAAGGAAGGAACAGGCTTCTGGAGGAGCTCAGAGATACCACACACATGTTTAACAAACTGAAACAAAAGTATTAAAAACGCCAGAAGAGTAATTATTGCCTGTGTGTATATTGACTCAGTAGGTGTGATGATAAATGAGAAAAGCTAATCTGCAGGAGTTTAATATTTGAAAGAAACACAGAATGTTTTACAGCCACACTGCATTATATTCCTTTATGTTTTTTATTGTCAGCTGTTCCATAAAGCATGTTAAGAAAAAGTGGGGATTAAAGTCCTGCACATGACTTGAATGAACCCAACAAATCGAGTCGAGGCTAAAGTGGTTCGATAAAGGTCGTTTTAAGTTCAGTCAGGCTTATTTAATACAGGTTTCAGGAGTCAAGACAACTGCATGTGCACACAAATCCTATATTGGTTGTCTTCAAACTCATAGTTTTGTACTGGTGCTCTGTAATGAAGTCAAACAATATGATAGCATGCCATACAGTCGTTGGTAAAATCTTGACTTTCCTGTTGAGTCAGTTTTGCAGGAACTCTGGTTCAGGAACAATTCAGGTTGACCTTGACGGGAAGCCTGTCCCGGGTCAGGATAGTTAGTAACTGAGCTTAAACTATGATGAATTTGCTTTATTCAACTGAAATAAGCAGAAGTTAAGTCCAGCTAACTGAGATAATCCTGACTTATTTGGCCCCTGAGTCCTGTACTACGAAACAAGTTCAACATACTCCAGGTATCTTTTTGTTATCTGGCTTCAACCTAACAATTGTAGTTTTTGATAGGCGGTCTCACAAACCTGGTGATCATCTCAGTCACTCAACCCAGAGTTTCTGAACCTGGCTTCACATTAAAGAGGCAGAGTTGGCACCAGATGACCAATCACAAACATGGACAGGTCTGTTGGTACCAAAGTGGTAAATTGTATGACCACAGCTGTGATGTTAGAGAAATATGAGGATTTAAAAACATAATACAGACTAAAGGCAACACAGATGCAGCAGCCAAAGAAGAAGAAGAAGCTGGAAAAAAAAAACCTCTGCAGACTGAGTGAAACCAGTAAACCAGTTCATCAGCATCTTCTATTAAACAAACGTGTTGCTCAGACGTATGTTTCTGGTGTGTAGGACAGTTTTAGTCCTTTCCTTTCAACTTCAACCCTGGTGCACGTAAACCATGAACAAGTGCTAAGCAGGCTGACTCTCATATTGTTCAGAAGGCTGCAAGTTTTATTATTTCCCATAAAAAAAAAAACTATAATCCTGAACCAACATCAGGAGTTTAAAAACATAACACAGGCTAAAAACAGCACAACTGTTGCAGCCAAAGTGAAGAAAGAAAGCTGCAAAATGAAAATGCTTATTAATATCACTGCCAATTTGTAAAAAAGTAAAAATGAAATTGTAGAATGAAATTACTGATGTACTTCCTTTATGCAACTCACAAGACAAGACAAATTACTGAATGAATAAATGATCAATGAATGAAAATACAACTATTTTCATGGTGGAGGCTTTGTAGTATAAGCTTCTGCTTCTACTGTTTCTACTTATATTTACATTTTTAGCTCATATTTTTCAGCTTATATTCATCTATATATTTTGTACTGTGTCTAATAATTTGAATGGGAGCAACTGTAACACAAATAATTTCCCTTCAGGGATCGATAAAGCATTTACTGACTCTGATTCTGTTTACTTCACATAAATAAAGACATTTCTACCATAAACAGATGCAGAAAAGGACCAAACTGGTGCCTAAAAACTGACCAGAGTGGGAATTTAACACAATCTACGGAAATTCAAAGGATGAAGTGTCTCAGATATAAAATTTCAAATATAAGAATACAGAGACGCAGTTTTGGTTTCTTTTTTTTGTTTGTTTTTGTAGTTTTATCCTGTCTTGACCTTTTGCACATATTTTTGAAGCTGCCTGTCTGACACCATATAGCAGCTCTTTGGTCATATCAGGCTGTTTTTAACGTGCAGCATAAATAAATTTGATTTAATAACTAAAACACTTACTGATAGAATTGAACAATTTTCTCAACAAATAATGAAGTTAAATGGGAGCCTCTGTTGCTGTTCTAAAACCTAACTGCAGGATTATTATCATCTGAAAAACTTAATGACATTAACTTCTCCTGTTAACACACAACACGAGTTTAATGAGTTTAAAGTTTAGCTACTTTAACCAGCCAGAGGTGCGTTTGATCTGCTGCCAGGTGACAGTGGCACCAGAGGGGCGGGGACTATTCTGACGGTTTTGTAACCGTCGGGTGTTTTGTAAGCGAGCAGCAAAAATTATTAAATAACTTGACGATCAGGAAGCGGGTATGTCGTTAGCTTCTGTAATTTCCTGACCTTCGGACCACCGCAGCGTTACACAACACACCGCCCGACGGAGCGGCCGTTGGTCCGCCGCTCAGTTCGCGGTCGCCGCCAATCGTCGCTGATCGACGGCGGGACGTCACGTCGCCTCGTGTCGGCTCCAGAGGCGGCACCGGCTGGGAGTGTCTGAGGAGTGACCGCTCCGATAAGACCGCCCTGCCCACCCAGTAGCTATATCACAATACAGCAGCATGCCAGAGCAGTTAGCTGTCTGCGCGTAGCTTTAGCCCCGCAGCGACACGGAGCAGCCGAGACACGGTGAGTAGCTCCTAACCCGAGATAACCCGGACCGTCACCTTCAGCACCGGCAGACAAATTAGCTCTCATTTAACTTCACAGCGCTGAAACTTTAACCCGGTGACTGTCAGCGCTTGTCTGACTTCACTGCGTCTCCCTGCACAGAGAATTACCGCAGAAATTAAACATTAGCTTGAAATTAGCATGTTCTGCTGCTGTGGTTCAGGTGGCTGTAAAGTTTGTGCTCATGTTCACACCGGCACACATCTGGCTGGTTTTCTGTTCAAATTAGCATCAAAATGTAGAAACATTAAAAGTCTTTCCATCTGATAAAACCTGAACTTTATTGTACTTAAACACAGCTGAGCCACCTCACAGAGTAAAGCTGCTATAAACAGTGTTAATATTAGATCAAATTGCTCAGAGTAATAAATGGCTGATAATCATCACCTGACCTCTGATGACTGAATGAAAACTGAATGACTTCCAGCTCATTGTCCTGCTTGTCTGGCTTGCAGTTTATTTCATGTGGTTCACTCACAGCTGTCAGGGTGGTGATACACAGCTTTAAATATGAAACTATACCAAGCTCTCCGATCAGGATCTCTTACAGTGTACAAGACATCGTAAAGGGTTTGGTGGAAGGAAACAGTGCAACTAGTTGCACATCTCAGACGTATGAATGACATTTCTGCTCTGACATGAACCGGTTGACCAACATACACCCATCAGCCACTGCTTTAAACCCACATTGATTATTTGGTGTCACCTGTCGAGGGATGTGTTTGTTGTTGTCACTTGTTGGGCTTGATGTGTTGGAATCAGGAAAAATGAGCAAATTTAAGGATCTCATGATTTCTGTTGGGGCTGCAAGGTGGCTCGGTGGGTAGCACCGTCGCCTCGCAGCTAGAAGGTTGCTGGTTCACATCTCGGTGAGGACACCCGGGATCTTTCTGCGTGGAGTCTCCATGTTCTCCCCGTGCAGTGTGGGTTCTCTCTGGGTTCCTCCCACAAGGTCCAAAAACATGCTGAGGTTAATTGGTGATTCTAAATTGTCCGTAGTGTGCTTGTTGTGATAGACTGGTGACTTCACCCTGAGTCAGCTGGGATAGACTGACCCTAGTGAGGATTAAGCGGTGTATAGATGATGGATGGATGGACGATCTCTCTTGTGGTGGCGAGACAACTGGGTCAGAACATCTCCAGAACTGCAGGTGTTGTGTTTCTGATGTGTAGTTTCTAGTACTTACCCAAAGCTTTCCATGGCATGCGTAGAGAGTGAAGGCTGTTGCTGAAAACCTAAAAGCTGACTATGATAGAAACATGTCAGAACACACAGCAGCGTCCTGCACAGCCACAGACGGGTCAGAGTGCCCATGCTGGTGACTGTCTACAACCAAAAGAGCCTACGTCAACGCCAGAACTGGACCGTTGAGCAGAGGAAAAAGGTGGCCTGGTCTGATGAATCAGGTTCTCTTGTTGATAGCTGGGTGTGTGTGCGTTGTTTGTCAAACAGGAGGAGGCAGTGTAATGCTCTAGGCAGTGTTCTGCTGGGAAGCCTTTGGTCCTGGCGTCCATACTTTGATGCTTTGGCACCCACCTCCTACCGAAGCATTGTTGCAGACCACGCACACCCCTTCATGGCAGCAGAGGTCTGATCTAAGTAATTACTTATACACAGCACAAGTAAAACAACTGTTATGTTCTTCTCTTATCTCAGATCATGTGGCTGCCTATGGTTGGGATGACGGCCCTGCCCCACCTGGGCGGGTTCTACGGTGGCTACATCACACGCAAAGAGGTGAAGACCTGGTACCCAACCCTGCAGAGGCCATCATGGCGTCCTCCGAATGCCGCGTTCCCCGTAGTGTGGACGTGTCTGTACACAGGAATGGGGTAAGAGCTGTCGAGTCCTACCATCTGTGTGGAGCGCCACCCTTATCTGAGCCATCTTGTTTTGAATGCTGTCGTGCAGGTACGGCTCCTACCTGATATGGAAAGAGCTCGGAGGTTTCACTGAGGACGCTGTGGTTCCGCTGGGACTTTATGGGATGCAGCTCGCTCTGAACTGGGCCTGGACTCCTATTTTCTTCGGTGCACACAAGCTGAAATGGGTAAATCAGAAATGCAATAAATATTCCAATTAGGACAGCGTGCAGCACCATCTCTACGACGCCTGCACTGACAGATGGGATGATGCCGCCATGTTTGTAGTTTCTGACAGCTGCCAGTGCTACCTATACTACCTCATCAAGTACAAAGACCTGCCCAGAGAGATGAAGGTCATAGGCTAGCAACCTGTTCATTGTTCAGACAGGAATGCCTTTAGAAAGTGTGACAGCTCAATATTTAAACAAACACTCTCCCTCTGTCCGATTCAGGCACTGATCGAGATCGTGCTTCTCACCGGGACCGTGGGAGCCACCATGGTGTCCTGGTACTCCATCAGCCGCACGGCCACTTGGCTGCTGGCGCCTTACCTGTCCTGGCTGTGCCTCGCCACCTCCCTCAACTACTGCATATGGAGAGACAACCCTGAGAAGAAGGAAGAGTAGGCGACACGTCTGTGAAGAAACTACTTAAATTCTGAATCATCGCATGAAATTATTTTGAAGATCTTCCAGCGCAGTTTCACCGTGAACCTTTTCAACTTTATCATACAGTTTATAGACCTTTGAGTTTGTGTGTCGGTCGACCAGTGTGCAAAATAATACCTGAAGCATTCAGAGATAATATGGACCTTGTGTTTGTCCTGCAGATTACCAGCCGCCCCTGAACTGGCAGCTTTTTACACCCGTTAATCTGTCTGTTGTTAAACTGTAAGGCAGCGTGCTACTGACGAGTATCTTTAATAGTTTTATTAACTAATTGTAATGAGCCTATACTAAAACCATGCTCACCCATTCAGAGCTCTTAAAAACGTATGTCATCAGAATTAATCTTCACTGTGGGTCAGGCAGCATAACGAAACTGAAACAATGATTTTTTTGTTTTTGATTTTCAGGTGAATTGTTAAACTGAATTTATTTGCTTTTCTATAAAGAATATCCCAAGTGTGAATGGTTACGTTGTGATTCATGTAACACTCAGCTGTTTAATTTAATATATAATACATTTTTTAAAAATGATGCATTTTCTAACCTTGTACATACAAACCGGATGTTTTCCTTGAAGGCAGCACACAAGCTCTGCTGACCTCTGAGGTACCCCGAATCTTCCATCCATCCATCATCTACACACCGCTTAATCCTCACTAGGGTCATGGGGGGCTGGAGTCTATCCCAGCTGACTCAGGGTGAAGGCAGCTTCACCTGGACAGGTAACCAGTCTATCACAGGGCTACACTTAGAGACAGACAACCAAGCACACTCGCATTCACACCTACGGACAATTTAGAATCACCAACTAACATGTTTTTGGACCTTGTGGGAGGAAGCTAGAGAACCTGAAGAGAACCCACGCTGCATGGGGAGAACATGCAAACTCCACGCAGAAAGATCCCAGGTGTCCTCACCGGGACGTGAACTGGGTATCTTCTAGCTGTGAGGCGGCTGTGCTAACCACCTCGCAGCCCCATCTTCCATTTTTATAAATGTAGATATATATTTTAAAAACTAAACAATGCAATAAATATATTATACTACTGTATAATACATTAGACAGCTACAACATGTTTGTAGACAGTTATGCCTTTTAGACTGTAGCTGTTAAAATATTTCTAATTTACAATTTGAATGTGTAGCATTTCCATATAGAAGCAGTGAAAGGATTCCTAATTAAATGATTCATTAGATGAGATTACATCAGGTTTTAAAGGATGTTCAGTCACGTGCCTATTTTATTTAAGAAAACGTGAGAGATTTGCCACGTTGCAAGTTTCTGCTCATACAAAATGTTTCAGGGTTAAATTACAATCTGCTGGAGTTATTGTGTTCCTGTTCGTGCATCAAGGTTAATATAATGTTGGACAAATTCTGCCAGATTTGATTAAATTCTGGAGTTCATACGGAACGAAAACATTCAAGAACACTCTGCCTCTTAATGTTGACAAATCCTTTGTCTATGGCTTATGTTTCCACCAAATAAAACACTTTTTTATGGTTATATAAAAATACACAAACGAAACAAAACCTTGGAGGTAAAAAAAAAAAATAAAGCATTGTGTCACTAATAACTGGGAGAGTATTCCTGAACTGTGACCCTTCTTTATTATGCAGCTCTATTTGTAAACCTAATTCATAAAAATACCAAAACAGACCATAAAGGTACCAACAATAATCTTTATTTCTAAACACACAACGACAAAAGAAAGGGAAGCGAGAGAACGGTTATTTTTCCGGAGCTTTCTCTGGAAGGTCTTCTGGCGATTTGGAGGAGAATCGCTCCATTATCGTCTTCCACAAGCCCTTCTTTTCTTCGTCCATCTGCTGCAGGCTCCCTGCAAAATGAAAATACAGTAGATCTAAGTTACCTGGAACAAAGTTGTAAATGATCGAGGACATTTGCACGTGTCATGGTGTGGAGTTCATACCTTTCAAAAGCACCCGACACTCTTCTGCCGCGACTCCGGTGAAGCTTGTGTCTCTTACACGAGGAAACTGAATGAATACAAACAGATGTCAGCTCTGAATAAGCCCTTCATTACATTTTATTAGCTTTCACCCAGGAACAGATTAAAAAAAAAAAAAAATCACTTTCACATAAAAGTTGAGAAGTGCCGGTGCATTTATGTACTCAAACATTTTGGAGTAGACAGATGTTTGGATTTTTTCTGCATATTTCCAAAATTAACTCACTGCAAAGGAGAAGCACAAACATTTTAGCTTACATTACTGTGACAGATTAACAGCCTTCATCCGAGTGTTTTAAGTGTTTCTCTGGTAAACATCGGTAACCAAAGCACATGAGTCACCCAGAGGACGGAGACGAACCATCTGCCAACATCTGAGTCTTATGTGAATGTTACTATTCTTTATAGTTCAAATTAAAACGTCAACATTCCTTCTCTTGTGTTTTCTCACACAATATATATATATACCTTTGTACTACTTTTAACATGTTTTATTATCCCAGAAAAACTGCGTCCTCACAGCTGCAGAGGAAACTGTGTTACCCGCAGAGGGATTTGCTTTTCGTCTGTACTGGAAAATGGAGCAGACCAGGTAATTCACACATATACAAAAAGGCATGTGGGATATGTGAACATATACTTACTCGTTGTCTGTATACGTTGCCGTTAATGCGAGCCAAACTTTCATAAATCTGGTCACATTTCTCTGGTTCTGAGATCTAAAAGGGAAACGTTAGTGGTTAGAATTTAAAGAACTGGACTCAACAGAAAAACTACGAGGTTAATGGATTTATTTGAGAAAACATGCCGCTTTTTATTTGTTCAAGAAATATTTTGATTGTAAACTTTTAACCTCAAACATAAATCGTAACTTCAGAGCTCAAACAAAGTCTGTCATTTCCTGCATTACACAGATCAGCCACAACATTAAAACCACTGAGAGCTGACGTGAATAACGCTGATTATCTCGTAACAACTGTCAAGAGGGGAGATATATTAGGCAGCAAGTGAACAGTCTCTTCTTGAAGCTGCTATGTTGGAGGCAGGAAATACGCATAAGTATCTGAGTGACTGTGACAAGAGCCAGACTATGATGGTGAAAAATCAGGTCGGAGCCTATCCAGAGCAGCAGGGCTCGGATTGTACCAAGGGTGCTCCAAGGAGGGACAACCTGAGGACAGGCAGCATAGACTGTGAGCGTGACTGTGTATGGAGCTGCAGAAGTATCAGAGTGATTATTCTGACCCCTGTCCTCCACTGAAAGCAACTACAATGAGCAGCCGAACTGGATCATGGAGCAACAGATGAAGGTGGCCTCGTTTGATGGCTCACGTTTTCATTCACATCACATGGGAGGCTGTGAGCAGTTGACCTGGAGAAGAGATGGCAGCAGGATGCACTTCTGGAAGAAGGCAAGCTGGAGGATGCTCTGAGTGATGTTCTGCTGGGAAATCTTGGGTCCTGCATTCATGTGGATGTTACTATGACACCTAAACATTGCTGCAGACCATGACCACACAGTGTTCCCTGATAGGAGTGACCTCGTTCAGCAGGACAATGCATCCTGCCACACAGCAAACCAAGAATATGGCAGAGAGTTCAAGGTGTCGACTCAGCTTCCAGACTTCCCAGATCTCCAACCGATTGAGCATCTGTGATATGCACTGGACACACAAGTCAGCTACCTGATAGCACAGGACCACTTCAGAGGTCCACGCCTCATGGGGTCAGAACTGTTTTGGTGGAGTAAGAGGGGCTGACACAGTATTAGACAGGTGGTGCTAATGTTGCAGCTGATTGGTGTATATGCTCAGTTGACATTTACTTAAAAACTTCTGCTATCTTTGCTATTAGTATTATGATTTTACCCACTTTATTATTTTTCCAGCTGATTTTTTTTTAACACTCAATGCTTAACAATCTTGGTCACAATTTTTCAGGTTCCAAAAAGGACCATTTTTTAAAAATAACAACAACAAAAAAGTTAATTTATGTGTTTGCATTAAATATCAGTCAATATATTTTTAATTTAAGTACAATAATTTGCCTTAAAATTTACTTTGGTAGATGGAAAAAGTGGAATACATGTCATAAAGTGTAAATATATAGCAGTAAACCCACTTGTGCCACTTAAAGCCTGTTTACATCCAGAGAACTTCTCACTGCCTCTTAAACCGGTTTATTCAGGTTGGATGCTAACGGGATTAACTGTGAAGACACAACCTAAAGGGCCTGTAAACACGGCTGGTTATTCATTAACGTTGGTCTCTACAGCTGCATCTCCAGCTTCCAGGATAAGGAGGCTTCACGGGCATCGACAACCGGCCCGGACAGACAAGGTCGACAGCTGTTAGCACTCCTAACCGTTCTTAGCTTAGCTCGGTGTAGCCTCAGCGCAGCGGAGGCATGTGCCGCGGACGGCCCGGCGCTTACCTGCGTGTTTTCACCCTCACGGAAGGCAGAAGCGACTCTTTGCCGCAGAAACGTCCCCAAATCACGGCCTGTCTTGGTGTCGTCCCGAGGCCATTCCTCGCACAGCTTCAGGAACCGACGGTACCTGGTCGCGGACATCTTTGGACATGTAATGATTTAGCGCGTCGAGTCTGAGGTTTGAGCCGTTTCGCGCACCGTACTTGTGTCGCACCCAAAGTCTTCCCCCTTTCAGCTTGTCGTGTGTTCGCCTCGTTGTCGCTGCTGTCGTTACGCCGCACGTTAGCAAGATGAGCGGAGCAAACGTCAAAAAGGGCCCTTCCTCCGGTGTCGTGGAGTGGATCAGCTCGGCATGTCGGTTCGCAACAGACAGAAACGACTTCAGAAGGTGAGACTTTGTGGATAATAAACTATGCAGAGTGTTTGTGTAGCTGTTAGCCGCGCTGCTAGCGTTAGCACACACTGCAGTAACTGAGGGATTTGTCCTTGTCCTCTCCAGCCTCTCTCAGATTTCTGTACTTTAACTACAGAGCTGATTTAATTATTAATCCAATTTTTTTTAAAAATCAAGCGATTTACCAAACATTTTATGGCTCCAGCTTCAACTAATTATGGCTTCATTGTCGATACATGGTTCATTATACTGATTATTGTTTGGTCTCGAAAATGTAAAAAAAAAATAGTGAAAAATGTCCACCAGAAGCCCAAGAAGACATCCTCAAATGTCTTGTTTTTTTCCCCCACAACTCAAATATATTCAGTTTATAGTTATAGAGGAGGGAAGGAATGATAAAATATCAACATTTAAGAAGCTGAAATCAGAGAACTTAGACTTTTCTTCCTTAAAAAAAATAATTACTCAAGCCATGTGATCAATAATCAAAACAGTTGCAGATTAATTTATTATTTGACAACCCACAGATTAATTGTTGTGCTCCAGTTCCTGTTTTTCCAAGTTGTGAGGACTTTTTGGTGTTAAAATGTTGTAATGTGAATATCTTTTGAGTTGCTGATCAGCTAAACATTTGGTGACACCTTCCTGGGTTGTGAGACATTTCCCACCTTTTCTGGTATCCAATAAACTAAACGATTAATTGATTAACTGACAGATATCTGTCAGAATAACCTACAGTAGAAGTGCTCATGTACAAAGTCTGTCAGTTTATGTATTGGTCGGATTTAGCCTCAAAAATCTGTTGTTCATAGTAGAGTAACATGTTTAAACCAGAGCAAACTTGGAACCCCACATTTTTGTAGCTGAACAAACTGCTCAGAGTGCACAGATAATTCATTAAATGTAGGCTGATGGGCCGGGCAGGTTAATGTGGACATTCACATGGATGTTCTCGCTGTCTGCTGATGTTGTCAGAATAAACTTGGTGAAATATTTGTGTTTTCTTTTTAGGAATCTTCTGGTCAACTTAGGTCTGTTTGCTGCTGGTGTCTGGTTTGCAAGAAACCTCTCAGATTTTGACCTGATGTCTCCTCAGCCAGTGACATAACAAAATACATCGCAGCCAAAACCAGGATGAAGGTGAGATCATCGTCTGTGTAGGAGCCAGATGGAGGTGCTGCCTGTTTGCACACCTCTAATGAGACAAAAACAGAACGTATTCATCCTATAAATCTATTAGAACTGCAGCTAAACTGCAGACCATCGCCAAAAAAATACATTATTTCCCATAAAGACGTCCTTTTCTGTAACTGATGGGATGTTTTTGCTCTTTCAGGTGTCTTGGACCAAGAAGAAACAAGGGACATGAAAAAAATACTCCTGAAAAGTTTCTATGACTAGTTCTACTTTGTAAACAAATCACCTTATTTACCTGAATTTGCTTTTTTTAATTTTAATTTTTATGTAGATGACATGAAAACAAATCATTACATTTAATCAGTGTCTCTCGTTGTCTTTGAGTCACAGATTTTTTTTTAGCTCTCATTTGGGAAAGTGTGTCAGAAACATGTCGAGTTACCTTTGACTGTGGTGTGATTTATGCAGCCATGTCCACTCAGGAGCTCTTTGTTGCTGCAGCTCGTAAATGTCTGTCTGCTGGGAGGAAATCTCTCTCCGTTCCTCAGAGTCTGGACCAGGCTGCTCAGGTCTCGGCTGTCGATTTGGGGTTGAAATCTGCTCTTCTGTACGACAGCAACGGCGCCAGCGCAGAGCAGGTGCAGCGCTACTTGAGCTCTTTGCAGTCTCTCCAGCTTGTGTCTAAGTCACTTGTCACACTGGATTTAAATGGAAACAGCCTCATTGTTAATCCGGTTACAGTCAGATCAAATCTAGAGCAGGTTCTTTGCACCGGCAGCGTGGCTGTGATCGACGTCTGCCACTCGCTGCAGAAGCCTGCCATCTCCAAGCCGCTGAGAGGAGAGCTGAGGAGCATGATACAAGATTTGCTGCTTCTTCTTGGAGAGTCTCAGCGACTCGAGGAGGCCGAGAAGGTCGTTGATGTTGGAGAGAAGTCTGAGGAATGGAACCTGTGCACAGCGTTTGGGCTGTTGTTGGGTTACCCCGTCACCTACTGGTTTGATCACGCTAAGAGCTTTGAGAATTGTTTGTCCATGACTCCCCTGACGGTGATTACGGCTTCAGCAACATGGCAGTCAGACGCTGCAGGTCACAGATGTTGTCTGTATTCATTCAGCATCCCGGCTGCTCTGCACGAAGAGACGCAGGCCAACCTGGAAAACTGGAGGCTGCGTCTTCGAGAGAGATTCGAGCAGCAGCGCGTCTTACAGGATCTCACTGTTAGTCAGTCCTCGGTCACTTTGCCCTCCGTCTGTTTGTGATGCAAAAATAAAATGCTCTGGGATGTGTGGGTTTATTTATCACGCCATTAAAGTGTGTCGAAACATGTTTTTTTGTAGTGTGCAGTGGTATTTAAATACAAGCTTCTTTATGAGAGAAGCAGCTGAACAAAGTTAGCACCTCGATGAGTTTCATTAGCTTCTTCTTCATCAAAACACATGGATGACCGGCATCATTCCTCAGTTATTCATGTAATTATTGTTGATTCTTGATGTTGAAGAATCATGTCCTTCAAGTGGAAAGTTTACTTCAGTTTTATTTATATAGCTGCAAATCACAACATGTGTCATCGCAACTTTAAATATTGAGGTCGAGACCGGATATGAACAATAGCATCAGTGTTGCCCAAAAAAAGGCTTTAAAATAAAATGTAAGCAATGAAATTTCAGGTTAAAAGTTGTTTTTTTTAAATTTACATTTTGGTTAAAGATAAATCTAGCATACTTGATTGTAAGTTGATGTTTTTAAACTTTTGCACAGTGAATATTTTTGCTGGAAAAGTGTGTTTTATGTCTGAACCTGTAAGTGGGCCCTCACCATAAAAGTAGGCTTAATAACATGTTAGCTCCACGATAGTAGAAACCAGTCTGCATCAGCCAAAAGGAGTTGGAAAATACTGGCATATTAAAAAAAATCCAATACTGTACAATCCTAGCCAACTATATCCTATAAATCAATGAAGGAAATCATAACCAAACCCTCAACAGAACCCTCATTGAATACTAAGTACCACAGTTTTTCTTCTGAAACAACGGTTTTTATTTAAAATGCTGCCATTTGCTGCTGCAGCAGTTCCAAAATCAGCTCTGCCAAGCGACACATCCACCCCTCATACATCCAGACAGACACTTGAGGATTAAATAATGTTCATCACATTACATTTTGAGTTGTTTTTCTCAACAATCATTTCATCCTGACTGAACAAACATCGGATGCAACTCTGAATGATGCAGCCCCGCTCTCCTGACTCCAGGAATTTGAAGGCGGTAATGATTTTTTATTTTCTGCCATTTTGTGAATTTCACACATGTAGGTCTCACCTGGTTTGAAGAAGGAAGAGATGGAATGGAAAAACACCTGCACATTAGTCTGGAGATGCATGAATCAAATGTTTAATAGATATTTGACTCATTTTTACTCTTGAATTTAAGTCATTTAATTATGACTTAAGCTTAAAACAGTCCTTGACATCAGCAGCGTGTCCACGCTTCACACTCAGAAAGGAAACATCAAGTCAATGGGTGCATTTCAAAACCCTCACTGTAGAACTCTAACTGTCTGCAATGCTGCCTAGAAACACAGAAAAACAGTTTGTCTTCAGAAACGTTTAAATGAAGCATCGAGAACGTTACTTCTCACAGTTGAACAGCTCTAAATGTTTATCAATTATAACCTTCATAATTTATAATCAATCATAAACCTCAGAACGAACGTTGCATCGATTACAGGCAGTTTTAATCCCAGTTTCCACCTGAATGCTGCGTTTGATGCAACAACTCTGAATTTCAGGCCTCAAAATATGAAAAAAAATCAAAGAAAATGCTATGAGGAGTCAGATTTCCTACTCGCTACAACAGGTTGTAAATGAATACAGCATCTCTACATGTAATGAGTTTAAATGTGCAACACAGAAGATTTAGAAGATAAATATAGCACCAAACTATCCATCCATCCATTATCTACACACCGCTTAATCCTCACTAGAGTCGCGGGGGGGCTGGAGCCTAGCACCAAACTACAACAGGCTATTTAAAGATGTAGTGGAGTAACCGCTTCCTAAGCAAAGAATGAAGTCACACTCAGCTTCTCTGGTCTATGTTCTACACCAGTGGTTCTCAACAAGGGGGCCACGGCCCACTTGGGGGCCACAGAGAGGTTCCAGGGGGCCTTGAGATGACTGTGAATGTTACTAAGAAAAATACAAATAAAACATTATAATAACAAAATAAGGAGAGAAACTGTCTGACTAAACAAACCGCTAATCTGTGGGACTTCGTTTGTATGAGCTAACTGCTTAATCCAATTATAACGAATGAATAAATTGATCAAATGCAGTGTGGGGCAGCAGCATGGCTGAAGGCACCATCGAGGTCCCCGTCGTCCAGACCTTGGTGTTTATTCCTCATGTGTATATAGAAAAAAAGTTATAAGTACTTAGAATGACTAACTCTTTATCCTCGGGTTCAATTTGACCCCAGAAAATGATCAGAATTAAAACCGTTACCCAAGTTTATGTGTAAATAGCCCTTTAAATAAAACTGAAAAAAATATGTCAATGACTTATTTAGAGACGTTAAACATTGAATGGGGTCAAATTGACGTGCATTTCCCTGCAGCTCTCCCATGTGTGGGTGCATTCATGCATTAATGCTGCTACATTATAACTAGAGCTGGTCAATATGGCAAAAAAATTATTCTGGCATTAATGTCGGTATATAATTTGACGTTGCTGCCAGTTTACAGTTTCTTGTTATTAACTTAAGCCTTTGAAACTCTCAGTCCTTCCTGTGTACATGTAAAGGCAAACGGTGCAGCGCAGCTTTCACTCACTACCACTTAAACAACAAAGAGTTATATTTACATACTTTCTATGCACTCCTTAGATTTCAGCTCAGAGTGGACGTAGCGGAGCGACAGGTCAGCTGAAGACAGTTAACATCTCGTCACAGCCACTCGTTGTATTGTACTGAGCTGGTTGGGAGATTAGCTGTGGCTGGAACACTTCCTGTTGGCTCCTGTGTACACAACCTGTCTAAATGTAAATACAACATTATGAAGAGGGGAAGTGAAGGTGACACGCCTGTTGGTTTAGGTCTGTGCTGCTCTGGTGACATCCAGTGGTTCTGGATATCACATGTAACACTTTTATTGTCTAAAACACTGGACGACGTACCTTTTGTACCTTGTTTGTTTTTTCTGTTTCTTCAGTTAAATTGACTTTTGACAAGCCAACATGGAGGCAGTAATTTTTCCCAATTTGTGCATCAAACACGTGGAGAACGATCATAATTTCGAAGTCAAGCTTCCCCCTTCTGAGGTGCATCAGATGCAGCGTACATCCTCCCTGTCTTCACTGTGTGTGCAGCTGTGGTGGTTTTTCTTGTTCCTCTGGTGGACGAGTGCATTTCTGTCCATTCACTGGGTCCAGAAATGGCTCCTCTGAGAACAATCTATTCAAATAAGTCACACTGCCAAGACCAACAAACCCTTTTCTGAGAACTATTATCGTTAACAGTTATTCTGCATATCACAGTATGTGAGTGTAGACGTGTCAGTTTTAGTTTCATAACAGCAGCAAGTATTTCTGAAGTGTTGCTGATTCTGCCCTTTGCACCACTGAGTCCTGCAGTTGTTTGGTTAAATCTGAGGTAGTTTTACCACCATGATGACCAGCTCAACACAGACAGTTCAAACTTCAGGTCCATGACAGTCAGAGGGGCTGAATGACCGACAGCACCTCACCACAGCGGCCGCTCACTTTCAGCTCGGCCAGGTGGTCGGCTCTGGTGGCGCCGATGTTCAGGATGGCGACCGGCATCCTCCTGTCACTGGCTGCCAGTAAAAACCTGTATCCTGAGTACACCTTGGAAGCAACAAAGAGAAACTCAAAAAATGCAGAAAAGATGTGTTGTAAGCTCATGTTATTTGGACCACATCAGGGTTCTTCCAAAACCTACCTGCAACGATGACCCGACGACCAGCACCGCGTCCGACTCCGCCAGCCTGTCGTGCACAAACTGTACGGTCGCTTTGTTCACAGTGTCTCCAAAAAACGTGACCTCAGGCTTCAGTATGCCTCCACAGTCCTCGCAGGAGGGAACCCTGAAGTGGAGGACCTGCTCGTCCTCTAAGAAGACGTCACCGTCCGGAGCCACGGCGGCTGCCTGAGCTGTCCAGTCTGGGTTTAGAGACAGAAACCGCCTCTGTAGGTCCTCCCTCGCTGAGATGGCGCCACAGCCGAGACACACGACCCTGAGGAGAGTCCATCATGAAGACATGTTTCCTGTTTAGATGTGGTGTTGCAGAGAGTCTGGTTTGATTTTTGTCAGCACACCGACACAATGAGGGTGACAGTAATTAGATTTGGGTGCACTCACAGCTTTAGAAATGTACTTTTGAAAGCTTTATGTGCTGCAGTATGTCAGTGTAAATTAATTTCTACAGCACTGTTCATTACTTGTGTTTAAATAAGATTGAGAAGTTGTTCTGTAATCTTCAAATTAATGATTTAATATGCAACACTCTGCATCACCTTAACCCAAAATAATCCAATAATGTAATCGTATAACACTCATAGGAGATATTTTCTTGAATTACAGGCATTTTGACACCTCAAGTACATTTTGCATACTCTTGTTTTCCACATCTCATTGCAAGGATTTTTAAAAATATATTGCACTATTGCTGCTGCTCCTCTTTTCCGATTAGTGCATGTGTGGGATGATGTTTCCTCACCTGTGGGCACAGCCGTGGAGCTCCGTGAGCCTCTTCTGTCCTGCCTTTGAGTGAAGAGCGTCCACGTTCTGCGTGACCAGCCAGTGAAGCTTCCCTCCGTCCTCCCACCGCTGCAGCACCTTGTGAGCAGAGTTTGGCAGGTGGGAGGAAAACTGCGGCCATCCCACAAAGTTTCTGGCCCAGTATCGCTGACGGGACTTTGCACTGCGGACAAACTCTGCGTGCTGCATGGGTCGTCTGTCGGTGCGAGCGTACAGTCCGACGCCCTCTGAGCGGTAGTCTGGGATGCCCGACTCTGTGGAGAGACCAGCTCCAGTGATGGCAAACAGGCGTCTCGCTCGAGTCACAAAGTCCTGCAGCTGCTCCACAGACTGAGCATCAGTTGTGCTGCATGCTGGGACGAAACCCAACATCCCTGCAGGGACTGAGGAGGCCCTCCTTACCGGTGCTGTGTGGGGTGTGAGGACCCGCCATGGCAGTCTCATCTGAAACAGGACCAACAGTTATACAGGTTAAATAGAGCATACTGTGGCTTTTTATGTTGTGTCACTGATGCAAGTAAGCTTCAGATCCAAATGAAAGGTTAAAGGACTCTTAGATGTTCCCCACATTTTAATGATGCTGTCGAAATGTCACTTTCAAATTTGTGAAAAATGTCAAAAGGCAGGTTTTACCAGGTCCAGAGCTAAAACCACGACACTTAAACAAGTCAAATCTGGACCACATTGTCCCAGAGAGGCTAAAGACTCTTAAAAACACATTTTCTGAAACCTCTGTTCTATTTGTAAAAATGGAAAAGTGAAAAAAACATAATTTTTTTTAAATGTACTTTTATTTTTTTCATATAGACCACATTAAAACAGGTCCAGATTTAAAACCACAATACTTACACAGGTCAAATCAGGCCGGAATTATCCCAGAGAGACTAAACCATCTTTTACTTTTTTTAGTTTATGAATCCTTTATTCTACCTGTAAAAATGTACACAAGGTAGATTTCACTGCTGTTGTAGAATATATCAGATCAGGTCCAGCGCTAAATCCTTTTCACATAGACTGGGTAAACCTGAACAAGATTGTCCAAAAAAGATGAAAGATTTTTAAAACACAGTGTCTGATTATTTTTTTAATCTATTTTTGAGGTTTAAATGAGAAAAGAGCAGCACAACAGTAGATTCACCTCCTTTTTTCTCTTTTTTTTCATTTTCACACAAAGAAACAAAGATTTGACAGATTTGAGAATGGGTTTCAAACAGCACCAACGTCTAGCACCACTAAAATGTGAGAAAGAGCTGAATATCGGTCGCTCAGTGCTGTTTAGTTGAGTTTTCCTCAACTTTTCCCCGCAGCTTAACGTCACCGTGTTGTTCCTCCACTGAGGGGCGGAGTCAACTCACTGACACTGAATGCTAGCTGTCAGGTAGCTATGAAGCTATGCTAGCACACCTGTTTACCACAACAACCTTTTCGTTAAAGTGTGCACACAGCGAAAAAAACCAAAAAAACTGAAAAAAATAAAATAAAAACATGAAAACACAGCAAGAAACATTCTCAGCTATCTCTTAGCTGCTGCCCTTTAGCTCATACCTCCACCGGTGACTGACCGCTAGCTAACTTAGCTCAGGTGCTACTTTACCTTATCTGTCGCACACAGTGGCGGCTACAGGATAAAGCTACGGCAGTTAGCAGCAGCAGAACGTGTCAGCAGCTGGAAACAGTTGTTGGATAACATGACAAACCACAAATGCTGATATAACATGGGAACCTTTCTCACGCTGACATTGACAGCAACAGGAAGTACCGGCTAAGACGTAACACCAAATACAGTCGAGGTGTTGTCTGGGAGTTGTAGTCCAATTAGTTTCGCTTTAGGTTTCAACGTAACGCAACAATGTAAATGCAGGCACAAAAAATAGCTTTAATGATTAACCCTAATGTATAAATTAGTTTAAATTATTGATTTATTGATTGTTAAATAGTTAATAGACCCAATCACATGCAGGCATAGTAACTTGATAATCTGTTAAAGGTGAGCAGCAGGAATTTATGAAACATCCTGAATAAATAACGATATATATGCATTAATTAAGCATTATTTAGGCATAGGATCTGTACCTTTATTGTGAAGTGTTACCCACATATTCACTGGTTGTAAAAAAAACTTGAAAAATACAAGTTGTATAGAAAAATATGACAAAATAATGTAGTAGCTGCTATAGAAGAATTATCTGCCTGTGATGTGCTGCAACCAAACCTGACGCCTCAAACATTTGAACAGAGGTCCATTTAACAAAGTAACCTGCAGGATAAGGATTGTCTATTTCAGAAAACTGCAGTTTCAACCAGCATCCACACACATCTCACACTTTACATTCTAACTTTCATTTTAATGTTTATTAAATAAATGTGATACAGCTGGTTCCTGTGCACAGAATTAAGTCAAAACCTAAAGACATTTATACACGATTATATGTTTAGATTCTACACACGCTGATTTTACATCCATATTTAAGCAGAGTTGCGGTGATCTTTGTGTGATGCAGTGCTGGGCGTCATCTTAGCCTCGTTGTTGATAAAATGCACTAAAGCAGGTGCCGTGTAGTCTTTCAGCACAGCTTTTGCATAAACACCTTAATGCCAGTGAGGGTTTGCAGTCATCAGATATGGACAGAGCAAATATGTGGATGAAGAGTAAAGATAGTTTTCTTTCCCATTAGAATATGCTGCACACGTCCTGATTACAAAACTCCAAGATATCTGTTGGAAAGAAAAAAAAATAGTATTATAATTGTGTGAGGGTTTAAATACATCTCTGACATGTACAACAATCAGCCCGTGTGTTTGGTTTCTTCGTACCAGAGTGCGTGCAGTTGAAGACAGCTTCTACGTGAGTGTAAAACTCCTCTCCCAGGATGGAGCGGTAGTCCATGTGGCTTGTGTGGACGAAACACTGCGTCGCATCTTTAAACAGCAGATCACTTTCTCCGTACTGATGAGACTCAAAGAGGCTGAACTCTGAGTTTGGGTTGGCTGCCAAAGTTTCCTATAAGGTTAAAAGAAACAGCTGTAAAACGTAAAAGAATGACCGAAACACTCCCTGTGTCCTTTCTGCAAAGCTACAACAGATCATAAGTTAAGTTTCTGTCCTGATTTAGGAAGACGTCAATTAGACGAAGCAAAAAAGAAAAACGTGATCGTGGGTATAAGGTTTCTTTTTTTTATCAGACAATGAGTAGGAGCTGTTTTTACCTTTGACATGTTTCGACTGTCACTTCAAGTCTTCCTCAGAAACGTCATTGATGTCTGTAGTGACGTGTCTTTATCAGCTGGTGGTTTCCTGGTGGCGTGACCCGCCCGGCAATCTGTCAGATATGCCCGATATCTCTGAAGGAGAGCGTCCCATGTGTGGGACAGCATGAACGCCCCCTCATCACGGTTCATGGTGTCTTTGGCTCGCCTCCTGATTTCTATGGCCTCCTAGATCCAGGCGTGGCCCGTCGGGCAAATCTGACAGGTTGCCAGGCGGGTCACGCCTCCAGTAAACCACCAGCTGGTAAAGACACGTCACCACAGAAGCCAGCGACGTTTCTGAGGAAGACTGAAGTGACAGTCGAAACATGTCAAAGGTAAAAACAGCTCCTATTTAAAAATACTCACTGTGTGATTAAAAAAGAATCCTCAGAGTGGACAAAATGAACCTAACCACACTGAAAAAGGTGACTGATGGCAACAATTACTGCTGGTTGGATCTTAATCGTCTTTTTGTGCCAACTGAACAGCCCAACAAAACGCTGTTCTCTGATGAGCTCAATCCTGACTCAGTTAAACATTTTGCCAGTTTTGGAGTATTTTATTTACACAACAGGCAAAGTTTTGAGTTTTTATTTAAGTATAAAATTGTAAATGCAATGGCAAACACCTTGGACATTTCCAGGGCTTTTACGGCGTCTGTTCAACCTGCAGCTTCAAAGGCAGAGCATACATGTCTAATTCAGTGCACTTTTTGACAGAGTCAGCAAGTACTTCCTCATGGTCCTTTAGCTGCATGCTGCTTGTGTGCACGCTGAACAAAATCAGGCGTTTATACACATCCCTGCCTCTGTGAATGGAACTAAACAAAGTGGCTCGGACACATCCACACACACTATTCCAGGCAGACACTAAATCTGGTCATGCTAGCCACACCTTTGTAGTTTAGGGTGCTACTGAGCTATGTAAGCTACAATGCACAGCGCTGTTTTCCTCTGCTGCCTTCTTCCTTTCAGCCTCAGAAGGGCAGCATCGCCTCTATTCTGTCTGCCAGGCCACTGAGCAGCTAATCCCAAAAACAGAACTGACCTGTGACTTCATCAGGAAGTCGTACACTCGTGACGTGAGAACCGGCCGCGTCATGATGGTGTTTGGTGGGATGACTCCCAGATTACAGCTCTCCCACTCTGACAACGGGGCGCGACGGCCGTCACCACACAGCAGCTCGAAGTCCGACGATGTCCAACCGTCTGCCCAGCCGGCGGAGCTCAGACCTGAAGGACAATAGCGACATACAGTCAGGCAGCATCACCGTGTGTGTGTGTTTACGTCAAGTCTTGATCTCGAGCATCTCACTGAGGATGTTGGCGTGAAGGTTGTGCTGCTCGATGAAGGCCACGTCGCCGTAGCTTTTACCGCTGGGATCTCCAACCAGGCACCTGTGAATAACCAGTACAGTTTTATTTATGTAGCACTAAGACTTCACAAAATCACTCAACAAATCCAGAGATTCCTTTGGGTTACTTTTGAGCAGCATCATGATTAAAGGATTAAACAGTCACTTCAGGCAAATTGTTATTAGTTTCCTCACTGACAGATTTGGTTTTATTTGCTCCATGTATTTCTAAAATAACGCCTTTAATAAATGAAAAATACTTTATTTATCCCAGAAGGGAAATTCAATTAATTAATACTCTGTCTTCACTGTAATTCAGTGGAGGGGATTATGAATGACACTGTTTTGTGGATTGTCATGTTTCCTGCTGCTCTTTTTAATATTTTTCAGCGAATTTTTTTTAGAGCCCAAAAATGTCTCGTACTGAATCACTCTCACGGCTGCTATTAGTTTTGCTGGTGGCGGCCATATTGAGCTGTTTTTCTCACAAACTTAGAGGTGACCTGGGGAACATTCTGGAGTATTTAGCAACCAAAATGCCAGATATTTCTCTCAGGAGCTGGTGGAGACAAAAATAGAGCCAAAAGACAAAAAGTACTTGGTTTAAATTTGCACGGTGGACAGAAATTCACTGGTAAGTGAATGCTAATGTTGCTCTGTAACTGTTAAATAAATAGTCAACATAAATAGTTGGTGGTAGGTGATGGTATGTCAATGTTTGGTTTACTGCTGGCACCACATAAATGTGGATTAAATGCATTGTTGTCGCAGCAAATATCTTAAAACCAGGACTAGTTAAACCAAAACTTCCTCTAAAAGTAGGTGGAAAACATGCTTATTCATAATTTGGCTCAACTCTTTCTTTAAACCACAGATTAACAGAAAAACGAGGCTCAGGTAATCACTGCACCAACCTTAACGCCCCCATGTTGCCATAGTAACGCTCATTGTGGTTGTCAGCGCAGCGTTTGGTCGCGGCCTCCCCGGTGCCTCCCATGCACACTTTGCACAGATTCCCCTGAGAGCCAGGAAGGCAGCCTTTCCAAAACACCTCATTGTACACTGAGGACACACAAAGCGGCAAACTGCAGTCACACGTGAGGCTCAATGCAGCGACGGGGGACGCTCAAATCCACAAGCAGCCACTAAGCGCTGAGTGCAAAGGTCAAGAGGTTAGAGAATAGACATGATTTATCTACGTTCAGTGCAGCAGGAGTCCACGTGAATGTTTGGAAACAGCACCTTGGTTTGGATCACAGTCTGAGCTGCTGTTGTGCTCCAGGCTCAGCTGGTGTCTGACCGGCAGCAGCCAGCCTGCAGGGCTGTACATGTGGCCGTGACACGAGCGCCGGCTTCCGAGGTTCCCGATGAAAATGTTCCTGCTGGAGCGCTTGGCCACCGCTACAGCTGCTACCGGCGGCAAGACTGGAGAGAGAAACAGCGGCAGGTTGCGTGTGAAGACAACAAAAGGCAGCAGAAAGTTGACCGCTAGGCTGCTTGTTGCTTGTTGCTCTTCATCTTACCATCGGCCTCCAAGTGAGCTGATCCTGCAGCAGGAACACATTTTCCTCCTGAGAGAATCCACGAAGACACAAGAAAACAGAATCAATCACAAGAGTAGAATTGAAGTTTATTTACTAAATAATCAAGTGATTGTTTTAAAGCTGACCATGTTGGTTCTAAACTATCTGGGCTGCAAACAGAAATCATCAGAAAGTGAAAACCTTCAGCTGATTTACCTCAAATAAAATATTGTTGATTGACAGAATAAATTTGTGTTTAAAAAAGCACTGACGAGGTTTTACATTCACTTACGACGACTACGAGACTCACAATGATTAACTAAATAATTGTCTAATTGTCATCAGCAATAACAATTTAATAATTACTTGAGTAATTTTTCAAACAAAAATACAAACATCTGCAGATTTCAGTCTCTCCAATGTGTGGATTTGTCACGATTCTGTTCTATATCAATAGAAATCGATGTTTGGGGTTGAAATAAAAGACAGTTTAATAAATTTGGAGATAATATCTGGGACACATTATCTGATGGGATGTATACAAAACAATAAACCAATCAATCCTATAAACTAACTTAAAACAAAATCATCAGTTTGAGCCATAATTATCAGATTATTTCTGCAGTGCTTTGCTAAATGTCTTTAAGTTGTCGGTTTTGTCAGATTAATAATCCAGATAGATTCAGTTCAGAGCTCCACGAAAACCAGGAAAAGCTCAAAACCCTCACAGCAGAGGCTAAACCAAATAAAGGTGGATATGGAGTAGTAAGAGTGCCAAAATACGAAAATAAATCAATAAAACAATCAAATAAAAGTGGAAATAAAAAGAAGAATAAATAAAATAAAAAAAGAAATGATGTGACAATATAAAGCAATGCTAATTGAAAATGAATCCATAAAAGAAAAGGCTAATAAAAGTAGAATAATAAAGACAAATAAATAAAATATTAATTTATTTTTAATGATTTTTTATCATTTTAATTTTTTATTTATTTGTCTTTATATTTCTACTTTTATTAGCCTTTGCTTTTATGGATTTCATCTCTGATTATTATTGCTTTATATTGCCACATTATTTATTTATCTTATTTTATTTATTCTTCTTTTTATTTCCATTTTTATTTTATTACTCTTTTATTGATTTATTTTTGTAATTTGGCTCTCACTACTCCATAGATGGCATTTTGCCTTAATAAATGACTTTGGATTAAATCGAACTGTTGTCTGTTTTTGGTCGGTCTCCTACTCATTTAATTTCGCTACACAACTTCCACCAGTTCATAATGAATAAAGGAAATTCTACAGCTTGATTCTGGAGGAGCCTCTCTGCTGTGTGCTTCTATTTTATTATTCTATTCAACAGTCTTACCATAATATTCTGTCACAACAGGGACGAGGCCACATTTCCCTGCGATGAACGAGTGAGTCGCATCCAGTGAGACGGCGTCCACCTCGTCCCTCTGTGGTGAAGGTACAAGAAGTTTGTGCAACAAGCCTCGACAGAGTTTAATGAAAACCCAGACATCCTGCAGTGTACGTGACTCACCTTAATTTTCTCGATACAGTCGCGCATCGATACAGCTCGGACGCACACCAGCGGGTCGGACTTGATGCTGAGAGCCCACTGCTCACACTTCTTCTGCTCTGCGTGGCTGATGCAGCACCATCGCACAACGCTGTCCTCCAACGAGCTTCCTGCAGACACACACAGTTTCAGTGATGCTGTGAAACCACAGCCAGCCTGTTTTGAATGTGAACACAGCAGTGAGTGTCAGCACCTTCATGGCCGAGGCCTTTGAGCAGAGCAACGTAATCCAGCCCTAACACCTGACTGACATCCATGTCGTCTGCCAGGATGGCCAGTTTCTCTGTGACGTCTTTGAAGAGAAGGTCGTTCTCCCCAAAAGCTGATGAGTTGAAGAGCTGGAAGCGCTGCCTTTCTCTTCCTTGTTGCCCAAACAGCATCTGAAGAATCATTAGAGAGTCTTTCACTGGAGCAAAACAACGATGAAGCACAGAAACAAAGTGTGTCACATTTGTGGTAAGAAAAAAATAAAAAATTACCTGCACAGTCATTAGAAATTTGCGAACGACTTTGCGGAAATTGGGTCTGGTGACCATTCCCCCTCCTGGACCACGTCCCAGGTTACAGTGTCTGTAGTGGCTGAGAGGAGCTTGTGTGCCGTCGGTACACAGTAACCTGAACTCATCCCGCTCGCTCTCTGACACAGAAGGAGAAACACAGATGTTGCTGTACTTTGCAGTTGGATTCTGTGAGTCTT